TTGTTCTGGTACTGAGTGAGCCAAAAATAATAATGATTTTCTTCGGGACCCAGTGGTCTTAGAGTTACCTCTATGCTATTGGTCCCAAGCAAACGATTAACGTATCCTATTCTAGTTGAAATTCTAGTACTACGCAATGTTTGTTTTGATTCGCTATGAAAGTTTGACAGATAAAATGAGGGGTTATTGGTTTTTTCTATGTTTCGAGGGGTGATTCGACAAGCTTGGGACCGAAGATAGTACCAGACACAAACGAAGTGACAGACGGAGCGGCTTGAAAACTTTGGTGACTAACCTGCTATTTCAATTTTTCAGTGTACCACATGGCAACACCACTACTACTAGATTGTACCACATGGCAACACTACTACTGGATTGTACTAGCATTTTCACCAAATGTATTAGAATGTTTTGGTTCTATCTCTTTCACTCTACTCAAAACTGAAATGCATAAAAAAATGACAAAATGATACGCACTCTTTGCACACTGTCAAAGAATCATTGTACACAAAATCAACTTTGTTCAAATCAAAACAAAAAAACTAACCCATCTGGTGGATGATGGCACAAGCTTCCAAGAAAATTCTATTACAGTGAACCACATTATTTTAATGGATTTCTTCACCAGTTAGTCGTCTGTCACTTCGTTTGTGGTACCAGAGGTGAGCCAAAAAGTTGAGCACGTTTCTTCGGGACCTACTTGTCTTAGAGTTACCTCTATGGTACAACCATACATCCAGCACTCATACAATGGGAAACGCAAACAGCAAGATACCACCCAAAACGGTCGTCACCATAATCGAGAATCAAGAAGTCCACACGGGATACCTAGAAGACCACAACTGGAAGCTCTCACTTATCCTCTTCATAGTGTCAATCCAGCTAATCATCGGTATCATCAACATACTAAAGAAACAATGGAAGAAAGCAGCACTCAAAGCCGCCAAATCTGTAGCAGTCCTCAACGTTTAATTAAGGAAGACCCGACCATGACCAGATCCAAGAAGGCAACCGGAAATAGGTTAAGAAGTGATAAATTCAAATACTAATTTTTAAGCTTTAAACTGTAATTTATCAAAAACGATCCGAATGACCAAATGGTTAAACGGTCCCTAAAAAGAACAACAACAACAACCTCTATGTTACAACGATGTCTTCTGTATGAAGGTGAAAAATCTGAAAAGCCAAGTATCGGGAGGATTCATAGCGAAGTACATGAATTTGGGTGATAATGACACGAACACCCCCTTGTCAAGTTTTATAGAATGTATGGAAACGTCAAAGTGATCTGATGCTAGCGCTGTGGTAAGGGATTCACGAAACTAATCATATTCAAATTGAATGTTAAATTAGTGTACCACGATTGAGGAGGAAAAGCTACGTATGTTTGTTTGTGGTCGACTTAACCGCATGCAGCAAGTAGATCAAGGAGTAAATCGACAGTGAGCAGTGAGCATGCATAAGGACGTATACGCGATGATCGGTTCTCTTCATCGATTTTCTCTTTGAATTGCTACAGCTAAGCGAAACAATTTTCTAGAATTTGTTCAATGCAGAGTTGTAACAGGTTGTATTGGCTATCAAAAGCAACAGCAAACGCACCGAGAAACGTTAAATCTAGCGAGTTATTAACAAAAGAGAAAATCGACGAAGAGAATCGATCATCGCGTTTTCGCCCTTATGCATGCTCACTGTCGAAATAATACACCTTTTTGTCATCTTCCCTTCACTTTTTTTTTGTCGTCGTTGTATGTAAAGGATGGCTGGTCAGCAATTTTGGGGTTCTAAGAATGTAACGGGTGAGCTGAGTGGTGCGGAGAAACACGAAATGGTTGTCAAAAAGAATCCAACTGGTGCTGTCAAAAAGAATCCAAAAATCTAGAGCTGCTAAAAGTGATACTTTTCTCATACAATCCCCGTCGGCAGAGAAAGTATTGTGGTCAATGTTGAAAATATTGTCATTTCGGCATTTTTTTTACTAATATTCTTCAACAAAAAACTTGCTCAAATACTCGGATGTAAACAATGTAACGAACAAACGAACCTGCACGAACTGCTGAAGGAAGAATGCAAACAAACTTTATAAGAGTCATGTGGGTAGGTGCACTCCCAACTAATTAATTACACGTTATTTATGGAGCAAAGGGTGAACTTTCGACAGCATGTATATGCAAATTGTGAGCAGTGCATTAGCAAAACAATTTGTGATATCGGAAAATTTTCAAGTTGTTTCCTGCTGACTTGCAAAACAAAAATGGCTGTGTTCGCAGTACCCAGGTTGAAAGAAGTATTTTTTTTTGGTTAAAGTTTTGACATCTCGGTCAACACGATGAAGCACTCCGACACCCAAAAACACACATGAAACACAATAAGCACAGACACAAGGTGGCAGAGTGACTTACCACCTGAAATGTATCTAAGTTGTCCTACACCCTGCTAGCTTCAAACATTTTAAAAGAATCCCTCTACGAATCCAGAAAATTAAAAAAAAACTTGCATATGTTTTATACATGAATTTTTTTCAGTGCATCAATTCTGTGAGTTCCCTTGTTCCATTCTAGTACTTCACCGGTGTTTCTTTGACAATAAGTGCTTGCTCCGCAACTCGCTCGGTCGTCGTTTTCGTCGGTATGCGGGATGCACCGCTCTAGGGGTGCTCAGTTTGAGAAATATTCGATTAATTGCGGCTACGAAGCTTCTATACCGCGCTGAGGCAAAAGCTCGGGCAAAAGAACGTAAGAATTCCATTAGAACCGCTTATTAATTTGAGTTGTTTTTTAAAAGGTCCTATCTGCTTTGATCGATTCTCTTCATCGACGTTCTCTTTCGTGTTTGACGTGTTGGACGCTAGATGTGAACATTCTTCACTAAACTAGGTATATGGCAAAAATACACAGAAAAAAAAGCTGTTGAATATTACATCCAAACTGCTGCAACCAGGCCAATCCATCGGTTGTGTAATATATCGTTGTACGATGTACATCGATTTTGCGAACAAAATTACATCCATTGATGTAATATTGTATCTGCTTTTTGCTATTACATAATTATTTCATACATCAGCTTGATTTACATTGATCGATATTACATTTTTTTTTTGCTGTGTAGCGTGAAATGGTGAAATGTGTTTGAAGTGATATAATCCGAAGGGGAGACTCTATCTACGACGAGGGGGGTGACTCTATCTAAGATGCAGGCAATTGTTTGCTTTGGTGTTGTGATGCACTCGCGCTTTAATAGATAGAAACACGATTGATTATGATTTTGAAGATTTCCTGCAAAATGGTGGGGAGCGATGCGAGTAGATGGGTTTAGGTGCAAGATATGAAAAAAGATTTTTCGTAGATTTATTCACTAGTGGGAGAATTTTCGACCATTTAAAATCGAGATTTAGATGTGTCGCACCCCTCGATCTACGATGCATTTGCTATGGTTAGCTGCGCGCACGCTGAGAAGATAGAAAGAAGATTGATGACGATTCTGAAGATTTCTTGCAGAAGGGTGATGATACGCGAAGAAAGTAGATGCGAGAAATGAAAGAAGTTTTTTTGAAGTTTTATTCGCTAGTGTGAGATTTGCTGACCAGCTAGAATTGAGATTTGGATGTGCCTTATTCTGAAACACCGAAAAATTCCTTAACTAACCCGCATAATAATTCTAGACCGAAAATTGAAATAGGTGGAACGACCAAACGTTAACAGTGGCATTAAACGCAAATTTCAACGCTAGCATCTGATAGAGTAAACTTCCTTTATCGAATGGCACTGTTAGCATAGAGGTAACTCTAAGACCACTGGGTCCCGAAGAAAATCATTATTATTTTTGGCTCACTCAGTACCAGAACAACGGTCCCAAGCAGTCCCAAGCTATTTCACTCACCCCTGCATGTTCTGCATGAATCCACACACCCCTGATGTTATCTGTCAAACTTTCATAGCGAATCAAAACAAACATAGTGTAGTAATAGAATTTCAACTAGAATAGGGTACGTTAATCGTTTGCTTGGGACCAATAGGCTACTAAAGTGGTGAGCCAATTTAAAATCGTTAGTTTCGTATTGATTGTTGCTGTTAGTTTGCGTGGGCTTGTGCGTGGGTCTGTTTTGATTGTCGAGAAATTTGCGTTTAAAGACATTGTTTACGTTTGGTTGTTCCACCTAGTTCAACTGTTCTTCTAGAATTTATTATTTCCGTAAAAGTTTAACGATTAACAGACCATAAATTCGAGCACCAATTTTATGGTTATACCACAGACAAACAGACATAAATCTAGTAAGTTGTTCAGTTCGAATACGCGATCAACGGTAAATTTAAAAGTTTTTTAATTAGTAGTTACCTCTATGGTAGTATCACCACCTGTGGTTCTCATAGTCAATTCCCTTGCGTTTGACGTTTACACACTACCGCCATCTGTTCAGCGTAGATTACTATCAGCATAACAATTAAAGTTCACGAACTATGTAGAAAGGTTAATTAAAGTTCTCGTGCTCAAAATGTATGAAGAATTAAAGATGTTTGCTTGGTAATGGTTCTTAATAATCCATTATTTTATAACCCAGACCCATAAGACTATAAAACATAAGGTTGCAGCACTATCATGCAACCGTTCTTGTATAGTTCATAATTATTACAGTTACAGCATGTAAAATAAATAATTTTTGGTAAGGCCATGGCAAGTGCGTGCTGATGCGGGAAGTGTCAATCTTTGCGTAAAAATGCCATGTCCACCATGTTTCGTTGTCGCGAATAGGACGTTGCAATTTTTAAAAACTTTTTGATTAATTTTTTCAATCGATTAATCATTTTGCCTATCATGTAAAAGAAACTAACATGATGATCGTTTACAACCTGTTTTCGGAAATTTTCGGCGTAAAAAAAGTAGATTTATTGATTCGGACACCACTAGCTTTACTGCTACCACACTACTACAACCAAACCTACCGAGTGTTCGTTCGTCGTTGCTGCTGCTTGCTTGCGCTGGGTGTCTCTTCTACTATCGAGTTCGGAGTTCGGCAGCAAACGTCGTCGTCGTCGTCGCGGTGCGTTTTTGTGGATGCGAATTTTGTGTGTGAGCGAGTGCAGCGAAAAATTGGAATATTTTCAGCACTTTTCTGGTGCGGCATAAAATAGTTCCTGCTTTGTTCGATTCTGAAAGTGAACCGGTGGGTGTTGAATTTGTAGGTAAATCGAAAAAAATGAGCCGCTTACCCAGGTGAAAATCGTGAAAGAAAATCTGCTGGAATTTTACGCTTTTTCTCCAATCGGAATCGAAAGGGAGCGACACACAACGAACAAACACGAAACAAAAAAAGAATCGAAAAGGCTTCTGCTTCGCAAGCCTTCCTACATTTTTTTTGGCTGGAATTTGCATTGCAGTGGAAAAGAGTTCCCGAGTTTTGATTAACCGGAAGGCCGAAGCAATTGATTTGGCTCGAGTGGTTTCCGAAATTTGCGGACTGGACACCCGGGAAAACGACAGGAAGTGACCTGAAACGAATTGGATATCGACTCTCGAACTGCAGCGAAGACTACGGTGAGTACCCGTTTTCATATGCTCCCCCCATCCATGTTTTCTGTGGGCTTTTGTTGTTAGTTCTAATGGGTATATAAATCTGCTGGATGAAAATTCTTTGATCTATTTGAACTTAAAATGGTTCGATTTCAATGATTGGTAGCAACAGGGACAAAAATGGCAATCACACTTTTTCATTGACGGCAGGCGATGACCTGACCGCACATATTTTCGACCGCCGACGACGTGACGTTTCAGCTTCGCCCCACACACGGAACGATGATGATAAAGAAAAACATGACGTCCGGGAGCCATTCTGCTTCGGCTTAAATTTAGACACACGATACGCTTGTTTTCCCCAAAAAAACGAAAATAAAGACTACTCCGAGACCAAAAGTGGTGGACCACCGAGTTTGTCCTTGTTTTTGTCACTTCGGGAAAATGTGGAAGAGCGCGTACAAATTTGACCTAACCCGGGACGTTGACATTATTGCCGAAATACAGCAAATTGTATGTACCTAACCAGTGTTCGAATGTAAAAATATTCCCATTTTCATGAATACCGCTTGCATAATGATAACGTTTTGCAAGAGTCAGTCAGTCAGTTGTTCCTCGGGTTTGAAGGCGGTGTGTTCTGATAGGCGAGTTTGTACGTACTTCTTTTCATTGTATTTAAACTTAAGGGAAGTGGGTGTGAAATGACGTAGCATATTTTTGATCAATTTTAGACCCCTCCCCCCTCAAATGCTACGTCATTTGTGCATGTTCTCTAAGTGACGTTTTTGATGGCCTATTTCACACCATTGAATTCAGCACACAGGCAATTCAATCTTGTCTCGTACCCCTGCAATTGTTTATATTTTCAGAATTTTGATGATTTCACTGTTAAAAACAAGTCAAGTGTTTAACCCCACTTCCCCTATGTATTTCTTTTTCTGTGATGGCTACCATAAAAGTGATAAGGGATACTAATAAACATATTCGCTTTGTTTGTTCAGTCTGGTGAAATCAAGAGTCGTGTAAGTTCTATCAAAAATACTCATATAAAAACAAACTGTGTTGAGTCAGACCTGTGCTAAATACATACTGACATCGATGACTGAAAGGTCAATTTCGGGGTGAGATGTACCAAACTGGTCTTAGCCGTCTGTAAACAAGTTGGAAAGGAAAAAAAGGTCAATTTTGGATACGTAATGCCTACAAGTTCTTAACATTGGTAAAACTGATTATGGTTCGAAAAATTTATCCCTGTCTACCTAAACTTTTTACCTAGTATAGAATCGGAATATGCAAAGCATTGTTTGGCAACCCGTATCCCGTTTTACAGTTGTCATAAAAGGAATACTGTGCTTAAATGAACAACAGAGCACTTAGCAGAAATAAACTTGCAGTAGGTTTGAAACCTAGGAAAAAGGCTGAAGATCAGCTCGAGGACAAGTTGAAGCATAAGAACCTTAAAAGTCAGTTCAGAAAATTCCTATTAGAGGATTTGCAGCGCAGTTTCAAGAGATCTTAATGATAGTCCCAAGGGCTTATAACTCCCCGGAAGACAGAAGAGTTCTGGGTGCAAATCCGAAGTATCCCGTGGATAGTTCAAAAGATCCCATGTATAGAACAATAATCAATAATTACAATTTTTTGCATTTTAGATTACTTCAGATTGCTTCAATTGCAAGTTGCTCCCAAGCAAACCCCAGTATTCACATCTGTCCTGAAACTCATTGCTGGAGTAAATGGAATTTCATAATGATGGCTGCAGAAACTGTTCAGCCTTAAGGCTCTTCGGTGTCGCGCAACAAAGTGTCAGGTCTTGCCTTGCCTAAGTGTGCTTGGACGATCGTCAAACAGCTGATGGTAGTAACGCTTTGTACATTCCTATCAATGTGCTTGTCGAAGCACTCTCTATGACCATCCATCAAGTTGATGAAAGAAGTAAAAAGCAACTGGTGAATGTCGTCTTCGGTGTTGATCTTTCACCGATCTGGTTATTTCCGACAATCACGACACTCAGCTGTGCTCGTTTTGAAGCAGTTGCTGTTGGGTGAGTGAGCCCAACAGCTTCCGTTTCATTTTGCCAGCTTTGTTTGTAACTCACACTGTCTCGCGTGCCGTGACGAACTTGGAATGCGTAGGCATTGTTTTCATTTTCTTCAGTCGTTTCGCTTTTTCTCATCATCGTACTGCAGAAGTCTTCACTGTTTTAGTTGTGCTTTACATCATCAGCACCGCAGCGAGTGTTATGTTTTGCCTGTGAGCAGCGACCATTGCTGGTGATTGTTGTTTGCCATGGCTCTATCTCTCGCTGTGTGACGAAACGTCATGTCAGCGATAGTCGGTTGATGATTTGACGAGTGTCGAGTGAGTGTCATTACACTTTGCATCACTGGTTAAAATTTCGCTACGGTCATTGGTCCACGGCGAAAGAAAAAGAAAAAAGTAAGGTGGTGGATAATAGAGTCAGCTGGAAGAACGTTCCGTTTGAACCATTTTGACACATTGAAACCGGAGGATGGTGAAGGATTTCGGAACTTCAAAATTAAATATTAAGGGAACACGCATACCGAGCCATACGATTATAGAGAAGTTCTCAAAACTTCATTGTGGTTCCCATATTTTTAACGGAGTTCCCAGACCATCAAAGAAGATCCCAAAACGTGCAAAATTTCTCTGAAGTTTCCAAAACATTTCCGAAGTTTAAATTTCCCCAAACTTTCTAACATATCTTCGAAATTCCCAGAACTTCTTGGAACACCTGAGAAGTTCTGAAAACTTCAGAAAAATTTTGCACGTTTTGGGAACTTCTTAGTAGTTCTTAGAACTTTTCCAGTTTCTAGAGATCTCGAAGTTTGTTTATTATTAATTTAGTTGATAAGGCTCAATCGAATTAACTTTACAGAGCCGAGGATTTTTGTTTACTATACAATACATCTTAAAACTATAGTCAAATGGTACAACACAATAAACAGTTTATCTTCCGCTATCCAATAAGCCTCCTCCATCAGAACGGGAACCGCTTCCAGTGGTTTCATTGTAAGGCAGTATCGCCAGGGCAGGGCGCTTCCATTGCAGCACTGGACGTAAAACGTGGTCAGCACTCACACACTCATCACGAAACGGTTGCTTTCCAAAGTCGACGACGTATCGACCGAAAGAACTGCTGATGGAGAACAATGAGGAGAACCACACAATGTTTGCTGCCGAGTAAACAGACGATCGCGACACATATTGAGAGTGGTCTGCTTCTGCCGACAGCCGAGTGAACACTAGATCCCGAAGTGCAGTGCCTGTAATTTCTCCGGAATTCTCGACTTTTCTAGAATGCTGACGAAACTCTGGAGAAGTTACAAATTTCAAAGCTATTGGACTCCCGCAGAATTGTTGGGAACTCCAGAGATGTCAAGAAATTCGTGACGTTCTCATATCTTTTAGTAAGTTCTTATGTCCGTTGGACTTTCCTGAATAGGTAAAACTTGTAAAAACCTGGAAAATCAGGGAATTCCATTTATGATCTGGAAACTCAGGGAATCTCAGAAATTTTATTTTTGTAGAAACTGTTGAACTTTAGATTCACGTGTTAAATTTTAATCAGTAAGCTCCATTTATTATTTTGATTTCCTATATGTATGTGTGTCACTCCAACCCGGTTTCAGAAAAACCAGTGGCGTCCCGTAACCTCACTCTTTACCTGTGCACCAACTTCCAAAACCAGATTTAATGCCATATTCATACTCGAATCGGTCGAAAAATACACTTAATCTTTTAGTTTACTCGATATCTATCCATTGAAGGCAATATTTTGATAATTGTTTATGTTTTGAGAATTGGTGCATAGGCAGATTGAGGTTAAGGAAACGTAACTGAAAAAAACGCCTGGGAAATGAGGGAATATCAGGACATTTATTTATTATCATTGAGTCGACACCATGCTGAAGTATAGAGGAGTTCTCTTAAGTTTTCAGGACCTCCCTGAAGTTTGTAGGACTTCCCCAAAGTTTTAGGACACCTCTGCACTTCGTATGACTTCCCTGAAGTTCTTAGGACTCTCCTGAAGTTCGTAGGACTCCCGCGAAGTTTGCAGGACTTTGATCGTAGGACTGTCTGAAGTTCGCATGGGTACCGTGAAGTTCATTGGACTTCCTTGAAGTTTGCAGGATTACCATGAAGTTCGCAGAACTTTCCAAAGGTTCACAGAATTTCCCTAGTTCATAGGACAGGCAGGCAGAATTTTCTTGAAGTTCGTAGGACTTCCGTGAAATTTGCAGGACTTCCCTGAAGTTCGCAGGGGTTCCGTGAAATACGTAGGACTTTCTGGAAGCTTGTAGGATTTCCCTAAAGTTTGTAGGACTTCCATGAAGTTCGTATGACTTCCCTAAAGTTTGCAGACCTTCCCTAAATTTTACGCCTGAAGTTCGTAAGGCTACCCTGAAATTCCCAAGGCTTCGATCGTAGGACTGTTCTGAAATACGTAGGGCTTCTGTGCAAGTTCGTAGGACTTCCTTAAAGCTCGTTGAATTTACCTGAAGTTCGTAGGATTTCCATGAAGTTCGTAGGACTTTAATGACGTTTTCAGAACTTCCCTTAAGTTCACAGAACTTCCCTAAAGTTTTTTTTTCGTTTGGTTTGTTTTTTTCCTTCGATCTTGTTTTCCGTGCTGAGCACCAATGCTACCGACGTGCCAGGAAGGCAGCTCCCACACCTGGACCCTACCTATCGACCCATCAACTCATGAACCGGGGACCAACGGCTTTACTTCCCATCCGAAGGAAGACGTGATCAGAGATGTTATGCCTCAGAACATCCCGGCGGCGCCGACTGGGATTGAACCCAGGCCTGCTGGGGTGAGAGGTAATCACGCTTACCACTACACCACCGGCACCGTTAATTTCCCCAAAATTCGCAGAATTAGTCCTTAAGTTCACAGAACATGCCTTCAGTTCACAGAACTTCCTTAAAGTTCACAGAATGTCCCCAGAGTTCACAGAATTTTCCCAAACTTTGCAGAACTTCCCTTAAGGTAACAT